CCCCCCCCCCCCCCTCCCCCTCCCAGTCGGCATCGTTATTGCACCGGCCTCATTAGGCCTACAGTTGGTATTTTGATTAACGTTCTTACCAATGAAGACTGACCTGAAACCAAAAACACATGTCCACGCAAAATTCCCCATCCAATTGCTGACGACATTTGGATGGTGTCCGGAATCTCTACATGGAGCGATTCCAACAAAACAGCTATACCACCCCCTAAACCTTGAAGAGATTTCAGCTGAAAGCCTTTTAGGGTTTAGGGTTTAAACTGGCTCGCTTCCAAGACGAACCCAACAGCACTAGGTCCACAAGGTCCCAAAACGGATGTCTCTGATAAAAGCATGGACACAAACTGATCAATTCAAGAATCTCAAGAAATGGCAACGGAGCACTCATGGCCAGCTGCTAGAATCCTTTATAACCAGTCCCCAAACCATCGCTGTAGACCGCGCACATATGTGTATACTATATACACATACACAAATACTGCTGACCATCGCTACCAATGTACCAGCGGTGAATACGAAATGGAGGAATGGATGCCTTTCGCAGACGTTATCGAAACTCCCATACTTCCCATTTTCTTCCGCATATCTTTGTTCCCTACGAAGATATCCCCTCAATAATCCCCTAAGAATCCGCTCCATCACCCCTTTAATTTAGCGGTTTAACAACTAGCAAGATGGGGGTCATACCTGTCGTCCGCGACCGCTGCACTTTGCAAGCATCTGGTCTCACCTGCGATGCGGAAGATTCACGGGTAAGCTTTGAGCATAAAGTTGAGGGTTCAGGGTGAGCTTTGGCTTTGAGGGGGTGGGCGACTTTCCCGTCCAAGGGGTGCCCGAATAAACCTGGGGGCTCCGGACCTGAAGCTCCTATGTAAGACCTGAATTAAGAGATTCCGACTCTCACGTGTGGTGGCCTTTCTGGGCTTGTATCATAGATGTCCGGAAAAAGATACCTATCAAATGGCCTTGGTTAATAAGTCGGAGCAATACCTTATGACACTCACTGAAATATCTGAGGGTTTGGGGTTCCCAAGTAGGACTCCAAAATCCTCATTACATCCCTAAAGAACGTAGGCCCCTATTTTTGAGCAATGGACGGATTGCGTTAGCCAGTCTCACAGGCCTTGTCCGCGCCTGGAACCAAATTTGCAACCACCTAAAACCCCCAAAGTGCAAACCTGGAAATTGGATATTGGTCCCGAAGATTTGCTATGATGATAGTGTTGTACTTCTCATGAAGGTCCAGTATCTAAGTGCATAGACCCTTGTGTGGAACTGGGTGCGGTGGCACGAGCCTCGGCTGAAAACTTCAGCTGAGTGACCTTGTCCTTGACAACCTCTGTTTATAGCTGTAAGATATAAAAAAGTACGCCTATATCTTCGGAACCCGGTTATAGGATTTGGAGTAACGAAGCCTTATATGGATTCCATGTTAAGGGAGCCGCAGATGAGGAGACCTTTGGGATCCTGGGTTGAGGGTGCGGGTCAGGGGATCCCTTGAATGAAGCTTGAGAGTTCAGATTCGTGCGCAGCCCTAAACCTTACACGGGACTGCATTGTGCAAACGCTTCAGTCTTGCAAAAGCATCAGAACCGTCCATGCTTCCTCAAACTTCCGCTTGTTTTTTTTTGGAAGGGTCTGAAACCCTCGGCCTCGGGATGAGGAGAAGTAATCTCTCTACTACAGAAGTGCTGACTGCCCATTTTTATTTTGACAATCACTGGCCGTAGCCACTTGCAGACTTAATTAGAGTTGCAGTTGAGGCACCACTCGAACGTATGACGGGTTCACATCCACATCCAGCGCCGAGGTATCCAGATACCTGTCTCGCGTTGGAGATAGGGCGTGAGTGGCAGCTCGAGATCCATGGTCTGAGATTGTGGGCATGTGCAAGGAAAATGGAGAACCACTACCTACAATTGATGAAGCCCGATGAAACCTATTACAAAAAAGGGGACGCCTACAAAATGGGGGTAGGTATCCATCTGCAAACATGTTTGTTTTACATCAGAGGGGAGTTCAACATGTAAGGATTTACAATTCTTCGTCATGTTCATTTTAGCTGCAGCATCTTTGGCGGATTTTTGAGGATCAGGCATCAGCGCCTGGTACCACGTCGCCATGGAAGTGTGCTGGTAATAATGAAATACATGCTGGCGCCGAATTTCACAGTTCCTTTCTGGTCCAGAAAAGGAAGCCCTCCAAAACTTCTTGTCTACCAGTCAGAAAAAGCATCTAAGGCACATACATATATGGATTATATACCAGGATTCTGTGAGGACCTGTAAGGAGTATATAGAGATTACATTGCCAGATATTGCAAGTATGTAAGGGTACGTAAGAGTTCTACGAAGGTCTAGCGCGGCTGCAGTTACTTGTAAGTTGCATTCAGAGTTTATGTAGAGTCTAGGGTTTAAAGGTTCGGGGGCGGGTCGGCCGGTCGAGAAATGAAATGAAGGGAAGCTCTCAAAGGATCTCAAAGGCGTGGCCACACGAGAGAGAGAGAGAGAGAGAGAGGGAGAGGGAGAGAGAGAGAGAGCAGAAACTCAGTAGACTCCACTAGCATCTGGTACTGCCTGCTAGTAATATGATGTAATGCAATGTGCAATATTTGCACTGGATTGCGCCAGTATGTCAGGAAATGTTAGGAATGTCCACATATGTCCGGCACCGTACGGCTGGAAATGGCCAAGACCTCCAAACCCTTCAGCGGACCAGACCGTGACACCTCCAAACCCTTCAGCGGACCAGACCGTGACAGCTCCAAATCCTTCAGCGGACCAGATCGTGACACCTCCAAACCCTTCAGCGGACCAGACCGTGACACCTCCAAACCCTTCAGCGGAACAGACCGTGACACCTCCAAACCCTTCAGCGGACCAGACCGTGACACCTCCAAACCCTTCAAACCCTTGAGCGGACCAGACCGTGACAGCTCCAAACCCTTCAGCGGACCAGACCGTGACACCTCCAAACCCTTCAGCGGACCAGACCGTGACACCTCCAAACCCTTCAAACCCTTCAGCGGACCAGACCGTGACACCTGCAAACCTTTCAGCGGACCAGACCGTGACAGCTCCAAACCCTTCAGCGGACCAGACCGTGAAACCTCCAAACCCTTCAAACCCTTCAGCGGACCAGACCGTGACACCCCTGAACCCTTCAGCGGACCAGACCGTGACACCTCCAGACCCTTCAGCGGACCAGACCGCGACACCTCCAAACCCTTCAGTGGACCAGACGGTGACAAGACTGCGACACCCCCAAACCCTTCAGCGGACCAGACCGTGACACCTCCAAACCCTTGAGCGGACCAGACTGTGACACCCACAAACCCTTCAGCGGACCAGACCGTGACAAGACCGCGACACCCCCAAACCCTTCAGCGGTCCAGAACGTGACACCTCCAAACCCAGCGCACCAGAGCGTGACACGTCTAAACCCTTTAGTGGACCAGACCGTGACACCTCAAAAACCCTTCAGCGGACCAGACCGTTACACCTCCAAACCCTTCAGCGCAAGGTTCTGGGAAATAGGAACCCTTCAGCTCTGACCTTATCTTTTGAAGAATGATGACTATATGAAGCCTGTTTATATATGTCTTCTAATTCTCATGTTGGCACCCAAAACTTTACACTATAGCGGGTACCCCAACCATTTGGGGTACCTGAATACTTCCCCGAAACTTGACGCAAAAGCGGCTCCCCGAGCACAACGGGTCCAACATTAGAATACAGAATCTGCACTCCTAACATGCATATGTATGTATATAGGTGCTTGCGGGTTTAAGGGTTTAAGTGGTTAAGGTGTTTAGGTAAAGCCGGGCTTAAGGTAATTTAGGTGTTTGGGGGTTTATAGGGTTTTAGGTGCTTGCGGGTTTAGGGATTTTAAGGTTTACGGCTTTTAGTGGTTTAGGGGATTTAGGTGTTTTAGGTATGTTAGGTGTTTGACGGGTTTAGATGGTTGGGGGCTTTAGGTATCCTAGCCCATACTACTGGGGAACTGGTGGACACACCGGGTACCACGTTCCCGCCCCCTGTTTGCTGGCGGCCAAAAAGGGCCTGCCCTCTTAAATGTCAACCAATAATAGTCCATTGAAGCCTATTAGTGTTTAAATAGCTACGGCCCAAGGACTTCGACTTAGGGTTTTGGGGCTTTAGGTCTTCAGGTCTTTTACGTGCTTACGGGTTTAAGGGGTTTTAATGTTTACGGGTTTTAGGTGGCTCAGGTGCTTACGGGCCCACAAAGTATTTTACGTGTTTTAGGTGGTTACGCGATTTAGGTGCTTACGGGTTTAGGGGCGTAGGTGTTTTATGCAAACAGTCTGTGGACAATCCATGCGACATGCACGCAAAGATTCTTACAAAAGGTTAGAGAAATCAACTACGGATTTGCGCGTTTGGTGCGTTGAGATCGCATGTTGTGGTTCCGCTTAGGTGTTTTACGCGCTTACGGGTTTAGGTGTTGAAGTTATCTTAAGTGTTTATGTGTTTTTGTGTGTGTTTTAGGGGTTTTAGGTGTTTTAAGTATGTGAGGTGCTTACGGGTTGAAAGAGTTTAGGTGTTTGAGGGGTTTAGGTGGTTGGGGGCTGTAGGTATTCTAGCCCATGTTATTGGGGAAATGGAGGACATGCCGGGTCTCACGTTCTCGGACCCTTTTTATTTGCCGCCAAGGCGCGCGTGCCTGTTTTAGATTCTGGGGGGACGGTGACCCCCCTCATTCTACATGTGCGCCCCCTCATGCCTCACAAGATGCCGGGGGGGAAGGGGGGGGGGCATACATTTGCAATTTTTCTTTTTCTTTTTTTCTTTATATAAGGGGGGAGAAGCGTCAACTCATGTATGAAATTCATTTTGTAAGGGGGTCCACCTCACCCATTTCATAGGGGGAATCTGAAGGGGGATCATATGGACTTGGGTAGTCTGGGTTGCTGTCAAGGCACATAAAATGCGTTACAATTACTTATACGAAAGCCCTGGTATCGCTCTATGTTGTCGCAATGCTTTCTTAGTTGAATAGTGTTGTATGATGCCTTCTCTACCTTTTCTTCTGAAAGACCACAACCAAAAGGTGAAACGATGTGCAGGCAAACAGGACAAAGGGAGGCAGGGCACTTTGGAACACCAAGCTCAAAGACGATCTTGTCTGGGTGAGTCCAGTCGTCCAGATCGAAATTGTACTTGCCCTCGTTGCCTGCACATTGACCAAATGATCTCATGGAGAGGAACCCCGTTTTGCCCTTAAGCACATGCTGCACAGGTACACTGATCCTTTGCGACTAGCAGGTCCTCCCTAGGCGTACACGTTTCAAAGGAAAGTGGGGGTGTTTCCGGTTGGCTTTCTAAACTGTGCTCGAGAGAGCCTTTTAGGCGTGTTAGGCGTCACCAGCTAGCTTCAACCCTGAGAAGAGGCTGTCCACAGGTGCCACAGGATGAGCAAAATCTAGCCGCCGGACTTCCTGGCCACTAGAGGTTTGAGGTTTAGGGTGTAGGGATCCAAGACGACGCAGTGTCTGTTTACACGGCTCCCATGCAACCTGTAGGCTGTGGAAAGGTCCACGGTAATCTTACTTTTCTCACGTAAAGCTGCGGGATTACAACCCACTTGCGCCGAAGCAGCTCCCACAATCTGCTCTAGAGGATAGCTACGTCCGTGGCTCACAATTGTGCCGCAGATCTCCAGGCGGAGGTTTCTCACAATAATAGAGGCCCCTTAGGTACTCTGAAGATATGCGGGATCATGAGGAGATTGCAGAGTTTCCTGTGTTTTAAGTATCATGTTTAGAAACTCCCAAGTATCAACCAGCCTCAATAATTAAGCCTAAACCTGCATGTGCAAACGCAGGTCATACATCCCTCCAGGGACTGGGTAATCCCATCCAAGCAATTTGTGGGTGCAGCCCTTACGATGGGGATAGCGTTTCTTTGTCAGATTAAGGGGGGTGCCCGAGACCCGAACTCCTAACCCTTCACTTGGGTGCTGACACTGCCGGATTTCCCCACGGGCGTTGTAGACGCCAGGCCTCAGCAGCGGAGTCCTACTTAAAGTTCAGGGTTACTACAAGACTACATAGACACATAGACCAAAAGCAGGCCTCGCTCCTTGCCACCCCTTTCCTGAGTCCTCTGAATCCTAAAGCCGTCTAGTCAGGGAACTTTCCTGGGTTGCAAAAGTACGCGTATAGCTCCCCTGCTGCACTTGGAGGTTCAGGGTGGTTCTAACGCAACTAGAATTTTACTTACCAAATTATCAGCGCCCTCAGGATATAAGTGGGTTGTACTTATTAAGCCCGTAGTCCCTACCTATATGCCCACAAATCTCTCATTGCCATTTCATTTTCCTTTTGATGTTCCGGGATTGGGTGTCTCTTGCCCTAAGCCCTGAACCTTAAACCCTGGATCCTGAACCTTAAACCTTAAACCCAAGACCCTCAATCCAAAGTACTGTACAGGCCGTGCAGGAGGCCAACGCACTGAAAGCTGTTGACCCTGAGATTTAGGGTTTGGGTCCAGGGTTTGGGGGCTGACCCTGGGGCTCTGAGTCTACAACAAAGAATGCCCACTTTGGGCCCTAAATCTATACATGATTCCTACTTTAGGCCCTACACCTATGAATAGCTGCTACTTTCCATCTATAGTATTTTCGTACTTTGGGCCGTAAAGCTACAACTGTTAGTAGTAGCTCCTTTGCGCCTGAATGTCAATACCTCATACCTAATTTCGGCCGCGAAGGCCATAAATCATACCTATAGGCCCTAAAGTCTAAACCCAAACCCTAAACCCTAACCTTTTTTTTGGCCCTAAACCCTACACCCTAATCCCAAAACCCTAAAGTCTATCTGAGCTGAGCCTTGAGGTGAAGAGTTCTGAGTTCTTTGCACGACTCGCGGCTCTTTGGGCTCAGCACCTCGTGGCAAAGAGCTGTGTCGCAGAAGCTATCCAAGGCTGGGAACTTTCTGGTTCCACACTGGGACACTACAAGAAAATTGAAACTCCATGTTCTTTAGTTGGGCTTTTATAGAATGAAACAGCTGTTTTCAAGCATTATTCAGTTTTAGGATGTCGTTTCAGTTTAGGGCTGGCTGGGTAGGGTTAGAGGGCTTAGCATGTGTAGGGCTGAGGGTGCAGGCCCTGAATTTAGGGATTAGGGTGGAGGGTAGGGTTAATGGCAGAACGGGCAAGGCTTAGGGTGTAGGGCTTGGGTTTGGGTGTATAGCCCTTCTTAAGGAATGTAATATAGGTTTTTGGGGTTCTAGAGGTTAGAGACGACCCTAGGCCCTTAACCCTAAGCCCTAAACCCTAGTTCTAGAGGTCAGTGATGAAGTTCTGGGGGTTTCGGGGTTTGCGGCTTTCCGAAGTAGAGATAACTTCAGCGGAGCATGAAAGAGGTGCCATTGGAAGAAAGTTTTCTGAACAGGGGCACCATAACATAGACCGCAACATGCAATCCTATACTGTGGTTCACAGGCTCTGGAGCCTAAGGTTCAAGGATTGCGGCTACGTGTTGAGGGGATCAGAGGGTTGGCCTAGACCTTACGCCCTAAATCCTAAACCCTAAGTAATATACCTTGTGCTCTAACCCCAATCCCAAAAACTCGGAGGAACTGCCAAGATTTGGATCTCGCTTGGGCAGGTCGTTCCTTCTCGTCCCAGCTGAGCGAGCTGAGGCATGGGCCCATTCTCCGACGTTCGTTCCGCTCCTGCAGAGGGTGCTGGGCTTACTGTGGAAGCCTCCATAAACATGAGTTGTATGTGGGTAGGTGGGGGTTGTACATTACAGGACTTGCATGAGGATGCTACCCCAATAACGGAGAAAACATGAAAATAGAAAATTAACTGGACAATGACATGGAACCTTGGGATTCGTAGGGGTCATACGGAGTATTACCAATATCATGGCCCTGGATTCCTTGCAGGGTTGCTGTATGGGCTACCTCAAGTAAATCTCAACATGTTGTTGGTAGCTATTCAGCCCCCTGTACTATTTTGCTGGTCGAGGGTTGGGGATCAATGTACTGCTTTTGAGTGTGCCAGGGCTGAGAGTCTGGAAATCGGGCATTGGGCCCGATAGAAATCCAGCTCACTCCTTCGAGGAAGAACTAATTGCAAAAAAAGCTGGCCTGCACGTGCCAACATGTTTCGCGGGCAGGAGGCTAAATCCTAAACCCTCAAACCAGGCGCCTTCTCAACAAAGAGGAAGATAGATTCAGCTCATCATCTGAGAATGTCATATTATGCTTCCTTGGATGAAATCCCATGCTAGAGGTTGAAGCATCTCGGACGCTTCAATGCTTAAAGTTGGTAAGCGGAACACAGTAGGCCCCACAAGCAAGAACAACCAGGCACTCTTCAAGCCAACATACTTAAAAGCTTAGGTCCTTAGCTCCAAATTTCTGCAAGCCCGAGCACTCTTGCCGTTTGTTGCATTGGTGCGCCGTTTAGCATTGTTCTTTGGGGGGTGAACATCATCATTCATCAAGATCAGTTCCACTTGTGCTACGCGATATGCTCCCAAACAATCCCTACACCAAGACGTCTAGATACCCAAGTTGAAGTATTTGAAGGCTTTGTGGCCGCCAAGCCCAGAACCCAAAACCCTATTGACATCTACTGGGGTGTTTCCAAAAAATAGGGGGCTCCAACATTCACACGAATATTCTATAACTGCCACGATGAGACTCCCAAGAAAAGGGTTCCTAATTCCAAATTCTGAGAACCGCGCCTTCTCGGCCTTCTGCTCAGCGAGCTCCAAGTACATCTCGTTGCGGCTCTCCTGCGTGTAAACGGGTCCTCTAGGAGGTTGCTGTGCTGGCTTAGGGCTGAGAAGCGTAGAAGCAAGAACAATGGAGCAATCCTTGTACCAAAAAAGTCCATACGTAGGTATGGTAAAACTTTGACAACTATAGCAGCATACAACCAAACACAATTGAAACTGCTGATGCCCTCCTTGTACATGCCTGAGGCGTAACCCAGACAACAGTGTAGTTTAGGTCCAGGGTGTTGATAGTGAGACAGACTTGCAGACAGGAAATTCATGAAAAGGAACATATTCTTTGAGATCTGGCAGTCTGATAAGTAATAGTAGTAATACGAATAATACTGGTGGTTATGCTAATAACAGTACTCTACCTCATGTAAACTGGTACTAATATCTCAGGTAAAGAGTAGACATGAAGCAAGCCTGACGCTTCTTATTCAGTGCCGGCATGCATAGGCCTTTGGCACGCATACGCCTGCGCCCGTGCCCAAAACTTATAGCATGTGCAAAAAACTGCATGAAGCGGTCATCGCACTACATCAGACTCATGTAGCTGGTAAGCTGAGGCCACAAGGTACAAAGTAGGCCCAGTCCCAAAATCCTCCCAAGGATCCTTAAGCCCTTAAACTCAACATCGTGACCCCTAAATCCTCATTGTGGATGCCCGGGGGCAACATGGTCCGTACTAGGCCTAACTGACGCTCGTGATGCTGGCTGCTTGGGTCCAAATTTTCCGAAGCAGGCCCAACTGATGCCCGCCAGCTCCAGCAACTTTTCTACGTTCTATTGCTACGCGGAGGAGTCCAAAAAGGCAGAACCCTTTCATGGGGGCTTTATTTTAGGTGGACTCGGATCTGCGTGATTTGGGTAGGAATGGCACCCAAGGCCGCTTCTAACATTCAGTCAAGCAAGACTCTTGGCTAGATATTGTTGGGGCATCCAAGCTCCACTTCCGAAACTCCATCTAGTCATCGCCCCAATCCCCCCAAACCCCTGCCTTAAAACATGAAGCTCGACCTTGTAAAGACACCTAGACCCAAAACCCTCTGTCCTAAACCCCAGACCCAAAAACGTAAACTCAAACACTCATCCCCACAGCCAAGAGCCAAATGCCAAGCCTCTCCAGGAAGGCCAATGGGCACTCATCGGTTGGGTTTGTAGGGTTTAGGGTTCAGCATGGATAGTTATGATTGGGGTCCTGCCTCTACCTGTAGGCGCAAGTAAAGAAGGGCACAGGTAGTACAGTTTGTTTAAACTATGTATAAACCTGCAAGCAAGCTGCTAACATCCCAACCCTTAGCCCCAACCCTACACTGTAAAAGCGACCCCCCCCTAATAACCAGCTATACTTCCCTAAGCTGCACAGACCCCACACATTGCAATCCTTGGTGTATGCCCCTTCATCCACAGGTTGGCCCAGTTCCCGCAGCCGCTTGTGACGGGCTTCCTGCCAGGGACCCTCGTGGAAAAAAATACACAACAATAACAACAATACTTAATAGTATTACGAATAGTTCTACTATACTATCACCACGCATCATCATAAAGGAGGATTCAGGATGGGGGATTAGGGAATAGAATCGTAATCCAACTACACTTGTGCACTAAGGGTTCACCATTTTTTTTGCTGGCATGGCTGCAAACGAAAGCAGACTATGTGTTGTACCTGCAACAGTAGGTGCAGTAGGACACGCAGGAACGGAAGTGCACAGACAAAAAAAATATCAGCGAAAGTAAACGCAACATAAACAGTGCTCAGCACTAGTAAGTCGTAACAGTACTAGTAAAGATGACTAAGAGTAATCGTGGCGACGATGATGATAAAATTGAACACCTACTGCTTGGTACGATAAAACTCGTAGCAATAGTCGCGACAGTATTTAGAATAGTGCTCGCAGTAGGTCTCGTAGTACTGGTAGGGAAAGGAAAGTAGCAATAAAATCAACATTAAAATGGTGTGACGGCGTGGATGTCTGGATTTTTTGAGTAAAGGTGTTTTTTCTCCGCTAATTGTTGCTTACTTCTAACGGTTTCCATCTTTGGCAAGATATCCGCATTTTGAATACAGAAATCAAATCATGGATAGATCAAGTCATACATAATTAAACAACTAAATGTGTACAACAATAAATAAATAGACAGATAGATAAACAAATCCATTCATGAATACATAAATGGAAATATTGTAGTAACGATATTCATAATACACTAATAGCCATGTTGACTGAATCTTAGGAATCGTGAGAGCAGGACTACTAGCAGTAGAGCCTTAAACCTGAAACCTAACCCGTAAACCTTACGGCTAAGACCTAAACGCTACAGCCGAAGCCCTGGACCTAAATCCTTATCCCCAACCCTTAAATTCCTCACGCCCTAGACCTAAAACCTGCCCTAAACCTTAAGCCCTAAACCCACCCCTTGGCATAGCCTCTGCCAAGCCCTCGAGCTCTTGTTGCAACCTTCACGGGCTTCAGGGCTAAGAGCTTCGGGTTGAGGGTTGATTACGAAACAATCTTATCTATAATTACTCAGAGTTATGAGGACAACTGGATATTGCCTAATGATTTCTTGGGGTTTTCCCGACCTGGTTAAGGTTTAGGCCCTAGGCTTAGCATTTTGACTTTAGAGCTTTGGGCTTACGATCTAGCGTTCAGGCTTAGGGTTTAGCTTGAGAGTTTAGCTTTGAGCGTTCAGCTGAGGTCAGGTTGAGGGCTTTGGGCTCCGTAATGAGAACTTATCCTTTAGGGTCTGGGGCTTCGGGCGTATGGCTTGCTTAGGTTTTAGGACAATTTAGGACTTAGTACTCACAAATCCAAGCATTCAGTAGTTACGTATTTACAATTTGCGGAACCCTACACGCCTGCACCGCTGTCATCCAAGAGGCCGAGATTCTACGTCGGGATCCTCATCCAGAATCCCTATTGAGCCTTGTACAACCAGCTGAGATTCTCTGCTTGTTGCAATGCTTTCAGCGTACTCACCAGCATTTCGGGCAGAGAACGCCTGAAGCATTTGCTTGCGACAAGGAGGTCGCCCTTGTAAAGGGTGGGATGGATGCTGGCAGGTTGCTCTTTCAAGGCTCTGCGTGATGTCCTTGGGACTCCGCAGCGTGCGCATAGGACAGTCATCCTCTAAACCCACGCGAGAAAATCATGGACCCTATCCGTCCTCGCACCCAACAGTCAAACCCGACCTAATTCACTGAACGGATTAAGCACCTCACTGAATGGATCAAGCACCTTCCCTCGGACAGTCTTCATCGAGGCCCGAGGGGCATGCCAAACCCTTCGTCATCTCCAACAAACAGGAGTAGACTTGAGTAGACACAGCTATGAAACATACAGATTCACACCACAACCCCAAGCACCACAATTCCAAGACTACAAATTCCTAAGCCAGGCCTCGCCATCCAGGCCCCAAGCCATTGACCCAAAACACCTTTCGCCTAAAGACAAAACCTTCAACGCCAACCAGGACCCCCAAGTACCCTTGAATGGGGTCTATGTCAGTCCTATATGTGGTATTTGGGCTCTTTAGAAAGTAGTTGAGGAATCTAGGTACACCCTGCAGGCACAGCCCTAGACTCTCAACCCTAAACCCCGGATCCCGACCCAAAAACCCTAAACCTTAAATCCTCAACCTGCAGCCCTTTTCCTACCCCCCAGCGCCAAACGCTAAGCCCATGACGTCCAAACCCCTAAACCGTAGATAGGGATTATAGAGGGTTTACATTGGGATTATATTTCAGGGGTTCAGGAGGCTGATTTTTTTGAAGCCACTCGGGGGGTTTAGGGTTGAGGGCTCAGGGTTTAGGGGTTCTGTAGTGTTTATTTATGGCTTAGGGATGATACAGGGGCCAGGTCCGGTTTAGGGCTCATGCACGGTTTGCATAGCGCTGAGGGTTTATGTAGGGTTCACATAGGATTTATGTAGGGTTTAGGGGTTATAGAGAGGTTATACATGGTTTAGGGATGCGAGAGGGTTTATAGAGGGTTTAGGGCTTTTACACAGTTGTACAGTCTATAGGGTTGAAGGTTTACACTGGGGCTATATCCGGTTTTGCGAGTAGATAGGGTTTATATTCGGGACTATGCAGGGTTTGCGCTTACCCCTAAACCCCCTGAAGCTCCTAAACCATAAGCTCTACACCTCCTAAACCCCAAATTCCTAAACCCTAGATTCAAACCTCGGAGCCTTGGGAGCTGCTGCCGAGCTTTGATCCGCTCCCGGGGCACGATCTCAGAAGTTTAGGGTTTGGGGTTTAGGGTAAGGGTCCTCCCCTTAAAGGGGTTCTGGGGGTTTATTTGGGTCCTTGGACCCTTAGGGTTAGGGTAGAGGGTTTAGAAGGCCACTTGGGGGTCAGGTGGAGTTAGTAAGGTTGCCCCAATTTTTAGGGTGTACCATAGGGTTCAGGGGTATGGGGTTTAGAATTTTCATGCAGGGTTAAGGCTGATCTCAGAAGGCCAGAGCTCCAGGTTGGGGTTCAGGGTCAGGGTTTGGGTCCACTTGGAGGGTCAGGGCATTTACCAATACTGTACTTGTAATGTTACTTGCCACCTAATTGAGTCCCCTAACTATTATAAGGGGCCTAGAATTACCCTGAATCTCCAAGCAGGGCGTTGCGTCGGGGTTCGGCGTCGAGGTTTAGAGTTTGATGATTTGGGGTGGTAACAATCCCAGGGATTCTACAGAGCATGACTTTGAGGTTCAGGGGAGTGCTAATCGGATTAGAACTAGCACTTACAACTCAGTTATAAGTGGGGCTTATAATAAGTGGGTTATGGCACAAGTATACTCGGGTTGCAAGTACTGAATGTCCAAGTATAGGTGAAAGCTTTGGTGCACGGGGAACTAGCAAACGAATGGGCATCTATAGCTATGATGTGCTGTGCTGAGATGGGCATACTGCAAACTAGTCAGCCACTTGCAAACGCACGGTTGCAAAGGTTTTTTCAAAATCAGGGTAGAGGGGATTCTTAGATGAGGGATCCTGCCATTTTGGAGATCTGCATGTATAATCAGTTATGCAGTTCCAGCGCCTGTCACAAATACCATGAACAAAGGCCTTAGGGCATATGTCCAAACGCAATCTGTCAATAGTAAGGTTCACACGCCAACCTAAAGCCCAAGCTCAGGCTTCGGAAATGTGAGTCCACATGTCTGCATTCGCAGCGGGTTTTCACAGACAAAATGTCCAAATCCTTACAAAAAAAACCTTGTCTGCCAAACGTTGCTGAAAGCCGAAACCTCAAGCCCCGCCGCTTGTCTAGGTGACCGGCAAGCTTTGCATCCAGCTGCTTTAGTTGCGGCCTGATCTTTGTTGCTTCAGCTTTGCATGCTAAGATTGTGGACCTGAGGAGTTTGCAATGTGTTGGGTGCAAAAGGAAAGATTTGGGTAGCCAATGTAGACGTTCAATCTCTAACCATCCAGGACCCACACCCCAATCCCAGCCACCCAGCTCGTCTGAAACAAAGCATCACGCCTTATGTCGTGCTCATCCAATAACATGCGGGGCGACCCTGAGAGGGATGTGGCACAAGCGCATGGACCTGTGGACATAGAAATGAACTCATAGCCCTAGATTGCTGCGCCGGCCCTCAGTGCAGTTCAAGCAAATTCTCCACCTTGATGGTTCTCAGCCTACATCTGTCCTGAGCTTAGGATTTTCGTTGTATCTTTCGTGCTACCTGTCAGGCGCCGGGAACTTCGTGAAGCTGGGGTTGGGACCTTTGGATTGACCCAAGTACCCATGAGTCCCCTGACCCACAGCTGCTCGCCCCAGCTGCAGCATCTAGCTACTCGCCTAACGACCCTTTTAGTTCAGGGCCCCAGGCGTCCATAATTCAAACCCACAACACCATACGAACACTTTCTGTCGATTGCACCCAGCAGCTGCTTGAATGCTTCTGAAAGAGCTCGACAGCATAAGAAAACTCTGAAATCTGTAGTACCACCTTGATGTAAGCATTTCGAAAGAAAAACAAGGTTCAGGGAAGAGAAGTTGCAATGAGGTGACATTTGCATCCAACGTTTCTTTCACCGCAAACACTAGATCTTCCAAGGCCTGCATGTTAGGAAGACTGCATGGGTTCTGCGCCCAGCCCTACATTTTTGGGACATTTGCCTTGATTCGTAAATAGGGTTTAGGGTTTAGGGATGCTGAATGGCCTTAAGGATGTCCGATTTGAGGAGCCGTAACGTGCAGCAGTCTTCTACCCTGCCTTCAAAATGAAATTAATCGAATCCCCAACTGCTGTAGATAGATACATCACAAAACACTAGTTTTATGTATTGAACAATAACAACTATGGGGACATGGGTGAAAATCTGGCGACACGTTAGGCGTTTGCCGGTCCTAATGGCAGCTGTACCTTGCAGTTGAGGGGCAGATGGGCAACAACATACGCTCGGCAACCTGACCAATCGGCGCCTGGCACTCCGTTGCAGGCCCAGGGTTTCTGGATGCAGTTCCCATATTCGCGCTTAAATAGGGAAAGGAGTAACGGATCCCTAGTTTGAGGTATTCGGCCAGCTTAAAACTTGAAACTGCAAGTTTGCTCCAGCGGCTTGGACTTAAGACATCGCTAAAGCTCACTTGCTTCATGCCGCCCCTCTATACTCTTTTTCAGGCTCTCCCCTGAATTAGGGTTATTTAACCGATGAAGGCAAATCGGGGAATCTTCAGGGGGTGGAGGCGGTAGTAGGGAACCCATGATTGGTGACCTCTGCAGTGCATGGCTTTCGGTCTCAGAAGTTCAAGGCCTATGCAGTTTTCCAAGATCTGCGGTTCACCCTGGCGCCGAGAGCAACGCGCAAGAAAACCAGAAACCCCAATTCCTCCTAGAGTCGCTGCTCTGAAGCACCACTGTAGCCCAAAACCAAAAGCAGCTGCACAAAAATGTCCAGACAGGAGCGGTGTCCCAACAGACTTCCAAAATAGCAGAAACATCGCTGCTGAGATCCCCTGAGAATGAGGACAAGCAGCACGACCTTTACCAACCGCATGAACCACTTAAAACATGAACGGAAGTTGTGAGCGCTCCCATCAGTACGTGTCTGGGGCTTCAATTGGCATGGAACTTACCGAGGGCCGCGCAGGGGTTGCCAGTCAGGTATAGGTCCTCCAACATCATGTTGGCCTTCAGATTGTAGATACCTCAGCACAGGCACTGGTTTAGGGTTTAGGAGCTTGGGGTTTTTGAGGAGGTGAGGATACCTCATCAAAGACACGGCTTCTAGGAATGATGTATACAGTGCAGCTTTTCACCTTTTTTTGAGAATATCTAGTGATCCCATCTGTAATCCATCTAATTCTCTTACCCCTCCATCTGACTCCTTTTTCTCTTCACCCTAAAGCTCCCCCCAAATCCCTACTCCACAGCTGGAAGACCAGATCCGCAACACCCGACACCCTAAGCGCTGAACCCCAAACCTGAGCATGGGGGTTTGGTAGATCACAAAAATAACGTCACAAGTTCCCTCAACTTGGACCCTGCAACTACCCTCTATTCTGGCCACACACTATTAGGGGCTTGTAACCAAAATTAAACGTAGAAGGAGCGTCTTGGAAATGAGCCCCTGAAGCATGAACATTTCCGCACATCCCTGGAGGGCATATTGGGCCTAATAGTTCTAACTTGCGAAACAAGAGTATGGCTTGGCACGGCGGACAGCTCCATGAAGCACAACAACTTCACCTTAATCTCTCTGACATTTGGCTCCCTTTCTCCTCGGGAGGTTCACTGAGGTATTTCTGGGATACTGACTTAAGCCCTGAAGAAGTCTTAGCCCTTGGCATCCTCAGGCCCCAACTCTCCTCCAAGTCCTCTGCGGTGACAAAGTTCACCGTCAGGTCTAACCTGTATGCTCCAGAAATCGGTCAGCTTCCCGTTATGCGATTGCAGCTCGATGCTGTTTTTGTCATTGTCGCCGTCGGGGTCGTTGTGTCCACTGCACGGCTGATTTTCGCTGCTTCTGATGATGACGATGACGCTGATATTATGTTTTCTTATTCACTCTCCTCATCTTCTTCTTCTTTTTCTTGTATCAACTGCTGTCCTTCGTGCCGACGTTAATGTCGTTTTTGCTTTTGTTCTTCTTAGCGACGTCGAAAATGATTTCGCCCAAGTTGCCTGCTGACGCGCCTGACTCTCAAGCTCGCATTTGTTCAGTGCACACACCAATAGATCTGCGTAGTCCTCTATGCGTTCGGTGTTGAATGCATGAGGATTCATAAGTTTCGTGGTCCTGTGAGGCGCCTACAAGCCTTCGAAAACGGTCTTATACCCTCCGTTGCCTGCTAACCGCCAGCAACAAGATTCGGGTCCTCTGATTTCCAGTGAGTGAAGATTTCTCCAAGGTGGGTTGGCATAGGGGCCATGGGTTGGTTGGCAACTCGGAAATAGCCCCATTCAGGCAGTCCATGCTATAGTTTGGGACTGTTGGCGGCGGCGGCGGCGGCGGCGGCCAGCAAATGCTCAATCTTCTGCAGAATGCCACCACTTCCTGCCATGCTCTCCTGAATTCTTATAGAGCAGCCTAAGCAATTACCAGTATGATTTTCAGGCCTGTTTGAAGTACCTTCCACTATAGCTATGCAAAGAACCTAGAACCAAAATGTCCATAACCCTTGGAACTTCTACATCAACCCTGAATCCTGACTGAATTCCCTTCTGGGCCCTGCGCTTCTTCAGAGATTCACATCCATCCACCCCCTCGATCTTTGAGATGTTGTTGAGAGCCTGGGCTCTGATATTTGCCCCAACCCTGGATGTACCACCTAGTTTAATGTAGATAAATGCCCAAAATGTGGTTGGTCCTGGACTCTGTATATGATTATGCTGCAGGTACCTCGCTTGAACCTCAAACTGATAATTCTTTGGGCCCTGAAAGAAAGTATCTGTTGCTCCGTTGCCCCCCCCCCCCTCCCCCAAAGAAAACATGACAACATAATAAACCTGCCCGCCAACAACGGACATTGACATTCAGGTAACATGTAGCAGAGAGTTCAAGTTTCGAGCGTACATTTTTGAGATTCGGAAATCTAGGGGTGTACCCTAAACTCTGAACCCTAACCAAAGCATCTAGAACTCAGGGAAGTGAGGGCCCAGGAATTGGCCTTCGAAGTCCGTTGAACCAAAATTAGGGTTCCTTTGGGCTCAGGAGGTTTGAGGCTTAGGGGTTCAAGGGCTGCAATGGTTTAGCGGATTAAGGATGTATGGCCAAGGTTTCCAACTTAATCATCGTTTATCATCCCTAGTTATGCCTAGATGATCTCAGTTAAAACGGGAAGCTGGGGGTGTGGGGTGGTGGGTGTAGGGGACCCTAGACATGCAAGAGGCTCACCCATCATCGCGGCATAGTTTCAGTCCCTCCCCAGTACCCACGATCACGCATCTGCTGGTGCTGGAAGCCGCCGTAAGTTAGGATTCTCCGCACAACCAGCCAATGCAATGACTACATTCCCAACGCGAAAAGATCAGCAATGACCAACAATGCAGAATCAAATTGTGCAAAGCATGGAAAACGACATGAAAACTAGCGTTGTATGAGTGTTTAGGGATTGTGTAATGACTTCACGAGCTGGAGCTCTTTGTGACTTGGATTCTTGGGACATTGTAGAAGCAGAATGGGATGTAAACACGAGCAAACGTCATGTAGTACTTGACAAAATATGGATACGTCTATGTCTGACTACAAGTACTCTAGTTAAGAAAGTTAAGATTATCCTTAAACCCTTAACCCTAAGCCCTGAAAGGTTTGCCCAAATCTGCAGATCCCGCACATCCTACATCCGAATCCGTAAGCCATTCTCCGCAAATTCGACTGACTTACAGGCGCTTGAGGGGGAGTGGGGAGATTGTTATAGTAAATGGATACACTCCCAACCTTAAGCCTGGTAAACCCAAGCAAACCCATAAACCCTAGACCCTAAGCACGGGTAAGCCACCCCGAGGCGACCATTCAGCTCAGGATGTGACCAGATTGAGATATTCCAGCTCCTTCAACTTATTCAAGCCTCTCAGCTTGGGTTTGTGGTCGAGGGTGTAGGGGTGTAAGGATATCTGAGTAGCTTTTGGTTATTGAACCACTTCAGGTCACATCATTCTTCTGAAAAAACTTTCACCGAAAGGCGAAAGTTGTCTTATCTCTACATTGGGGACTACGGTATTGCCAGCTAATACGTGTGACCACTCCTCTGCATCTAGTACATGGGCATCCTTGGGGGCTGTAGACATGGGCTTTGTACGTACATACATACATACATACATACATACATACTGTTGATACTAAAAATCCTGCATGACCTTAGGCTACAATAGTACCATAATTCCCAGACCATGAGGTATTTAGGTATGGGTCTGGGCACTTACGATTGTATTTTGGGCTGTATTGAGCAGTTCTAGTGTACTAGCACGATCATTAAAAGCAACATCAATACATGTAAAGGCATCTCCATTACAGCCTATTTGGCTCCCTACGTTGGCCTCATTGAGGTAGACTAGTGTCCTCATACACACTTGCCCTTCGCCCTTACAAGTAACGCAAAAATCTTCTAGGAACCTAAATGCGGTAACTTCCACTACCACCAACTCCTCATCATCAGTATCTGGCGAGTGATGGGGCTTCGGCTATCATGATTTTCAGAAACCCCTCACCTTGATTCCCAAAACACCGAAGCTTTGGAAATTTCATGTGAGTAGCTTTTTTTTTGGTCAAACCTAGTAAGATTATCTTCTTACATAAAGTACTATACCCTATACCCTGAAAGGAGGATATAATCTTACTCTATAATGGGTACCATAGTATCCCCAAATGAAATACTACTCATGTGGCTAACACTCAGGGAGGTTCGTAACTTTGACAAACCCCTAGCCCAACGCCCTGAATCATGAAGCCATAGCCATGGAATCACACTCTACATCTCAAATCCTTGGTCCCAAACTTTACGCCATAAAATCAGACCTAAACCTTGAGCCCTGTTTCGCGCCAGTGCCCCTCCTGGATCCTAATTATGGATTTTTATTTGGGGGTTGCCGAAATTAGGGGTACCTTTTCGGGGGTCCTCATGATGGGAATATTGGATTTTGTGATTTATATTGGGTCCCTCTATTTAGGGAAACTACCTTTCGGGCTTATAGAGCTTTACAAGGTACGTAAGAGGTAATAAGGACCCCAAGATTAAGGGCCCGAACCAGGGGCCAATAATTCCAATCTTAGAAAACCCTTTGCACGCAAGCCCTCGGCGGAGTCTCCCCTTTCCCTTTGCAGCCCCCAATCCCTGGAATCCAGCGCTGAGCCTTCCATCTTGGGGATGATGTTGTTCTGCAGAAGCAAGATCCTAAAAAGAAAGTTACCTCTGGTACGCGAAGAATGAAGGAACGGATCCTTATGGCAACCTGCCTATATAGGCCCCCAAAATATCATGGTTTCCTTTTCTCTTCCTTCATTCCTTCGTAATCAGAGGCAAGCAACAGGTGGCTGCAGAGCATTGGGTTTTCCAGACAGGGCATGGGGCGTGCAAGGCTTACCTGCTTACGCTCAAGTAGGTTGAACTCATGACCCCAAACCCATAAAACAAGGCAACTGGCGTTGATTCTAGATATCGTGGGATTCAGGTCCATAAGTACAGAGTCTAAGGCTTAAGCTGCCTTAAGATTTTCATAAATCAAACGCCTGAAATAAGGCCTATCTTCTAAATTAACTATCTTGGGTCATTATACCTTTGCCCAGAATCCATGCCTGAGGGTTCATGGTTTAGGGTTTTGTTAAGGCTTCTACGCTGTAAATGTACAAGGAATCTAGAACCACAGTTGTGGTAGTTGTTCTTAAGAACCTCCCAATATCCCGTGTCCATTTCATCCTCCATTTTCCTTTCAACTTGATTCTGCATTTTTGGTAGCAATCCCCCAAGTCCCAAATCCAACAACCTATATAGTCCCTACAAACCCCTTTATGACCTGTATTTTGAGCTCTTATAGTACCCTAAACCCCAAACCGTAGGAGACCGAAGGAGCGCTTGGCAGTTCGAAGCTAAAAGGTTTTGCTCTCGGGCTTTGCTTAGACAGGGTTTAGGCCATAGGGCCGCATTTTGGGGGGCCATATCAAGAGATCATATGCGACCGTAGGGAGGCTTTTGAAAGTCTTTGGCTCTGGGTTCCCCGTACGCGAGCCCCTTAAGGATCCCCTAGCTAGAGTAACCCTATACATAGGACATGGGTAGAGATACGGAAGTTTCCATACATAGGCCAAACCCGACACGACCCCCCAAAATACCAGAACCCTTATTATGGGGGACCCCCATACAGGTACCCCTAATTATGGGAAACCTCAATATGAACATGTTAGATACACGGCCTTTCTTTTGGGTCTACTGCCTTATTCTTTCATGGGTTCCCCGAGTACTCCCCTCTATGCAACACACCCCTCTGGGTTCCCCTTAAATCAAAGTTATTCAGGGGTAATTAAGCCTAATTAAGGTTAATTAAGGCGGGGACCTAGGCGGGGTAGTATAGGTGGGGAGTAGTGGGGAAACTCGTGATTCTTGGTAATTACAAAGCTTTGGATTTGGGGTTGAGGGCCTGTTGAGCCCAGTGACTAGCAAAGGATGTTTAACTTTACACCCTAAACTCTGCAATCCCTAAACTCCCAAAACCCTAGACCCCAAAGTCCCTTAACTGCCGAAACCCTACACTCCCTAAACCCTAAACCCTGCCGAGCTTCTTGAGATGTCTACAGCAAGCCTCAAGGCTTTCGATGCCCTCGATCTCCTGTTCAAGGTTAGAAGCATGGGCCCCTAATATGTGTAGGGTTTAAGGTTCAGGGGCCCTAATATGGGCTTTTGGGCCTTTTAGGGGGATTCTAGGAACCCTTGAGGGTACATAAAGGCTATATAGTAGGTATGTAAGGATCCCAGGGTCAAGGGCCCATACCACTGGCCCATGCTTTCAAGCTTAGATCCTGTTGGCTTTGCAGCCACGAAGGTCTAGTATCCGAGGCCTCAAAAATCAAAGGTTAAGGGTTTAGGGCGGTTTAGGTTTAGGGTTTAGGATCCATTTAGATGGGGTACAGGGGGTGTACAGGGATAGCTTGAAATTCAGATTTCAAGGTTCAAGGCTTAGGGGCTTGAGTGTTTCGTGTAATGGAAAACCATATGAAAGAAACAATGGGAAATCAATGTACAATTCAGTGGACACTAGCAATGATCTTGGCAACTATGGGGCCACTACAGATGGAAATGGGCTCAGGGACTGTCGTGTGGGATGTGGGGTCAAGGGTCACGGGCTGAGGGTTCAAGATTGAGATTCAGGGTTCATGGTGCTCTCAAGCAGGATGCGTGGACTCCCCTTACAGATTTAAACGTCACTGTTGTAGAATCAGGGACTTCTCGTCGATTCTGTCATAGAAATGTGGTCGTTATGAGTGCGTGGACGTTTACCGACCCATTCTGACCAGCGCTTGAATGCTTCTCGAGACAATGTACTCCTGCGACAACCCCAGGAACACATGGGGACTTGAGGGGATTCTGGTGGTCCGCGTTGGGGAGTAATTGTAGAGATAATATGATCCACTGAGCATCTACCATCTACGGGTAGCTGAGATGTAAGCCGAATCCATAAACTGCAAGAGTTACCTTGTGAGCTACTTTGGAGATCCAAGCCCTGTCGTGTTCCCTAAGCCCTACACTGTAATCCCTAAATCTCTAAATCTGAAAACCCCAGTGTTGAACTCCTGCTGGTGCAGCGCGATCTCTTCCAAATCAGAGAGTACGCCCTCATTGTGCTCTGCGCCTGTCTTCCGCAGATTACCCCAACAATGGGATATGAAAAGGAAAATGGAAAATTACTACTACTACTGCTGCTACTACTACTACTACTACTCAATATTCTACACCAAGTGTGCTCTGCGTCATTGGGGCTTTAAGGGTCTGGGAAGCTGGGTGCATTCCCATGGTTCGGGTTTAGGGTTATCGGTCGGGCTGGGGCAGTAAACCACATATGACCACACATTAGACACGAAAGTCACTCAAGTTAGCAATCAGCCGAACTATCTATCAGCACTTTTACTTGCACCCTCACCTTTGTGTTTGGGTACATCCAGATGGTGCTGCCCTCACCCAAACTGGTACGGGATCCCGAAAAGGCGCCGTTTCAGAGCTACTATCCTTTTCAGATCCTTCTTTAAGGGTCCATGCCCGCTTGGAGGGGTATACCGCTTGAATAGACTGATACGCAGTCGCTATATGACCCTTCCTTTAAAGGGTCTCTTTCGGGTTTGCATGTTTGTGGGAGGTTGCCAGGCAGGGCGGCTTCATCGTCTGAAGCCCCTGATTCGAAAAGAGAACCGGAATTCCATGAAGCGCATAAAGATAGATAGGTAGATAGATATATACACATCCATATATGCATGGGTATATGCATACGCATATCAAGGGGGCTTTTCACAGCCGGGATACCCTGGCAGATCGCAGGGGTACATAGGCCGATGTGTAGATAGAGAGAGAAACAGAGCGAGAGAGAGAGAGGTAGAGAGAGAGAGANNGAGAGAGAGAGAGAGAAGAGAGGGGGGAGACTGTTGTAATCGTCCCACTTTTGAGGATCACATACATGGGGAGTATTCCGCGACACTTACGCGCATGGGAACCCTTGATATCGAAGCTTCAAGTGCAAATAGTCAGGCCTACATAGTCCTCACTGTTAGCACCACAGCCCCACAAATTTGGCGAAGTACATATACCCTATGAACATCCCCTTGGCATAATGGCAGGTTTAAGATTATGGTCCTATACACCCCCTATGAGCCCCTTTAAAGGGAACATAGCAATGACACCCCAAATTACCTTGAGCAAGCCCCCCCCCCCCCCCCCCCGCGACAGGGAGGCACAAGGCGCGGACGCTTTCGAATGAGCTCCTCCGTCCTTGGCTCGAAAAATTAAGGTAAAGAAGGGCAATTTGGCTGCCCCAACCCCGAGAATGACAAGCTTATGAGTATCATATGACTCCTACAGGGTCCTTGTTTTGGGGTTCGGTTTGCCAAAATCCCTAAAACCCTAAACCCCATATTACATTTCATTAGGGGCCCTTTGGGATAAGCTGGATTAGGCATGATGTTAAGGGGTCCTTGGTGGATGGTACTCAACATCGTGCATACGTGAAGCATATCGCTCCTACAACGGAGAATCAAGCAGAAAAGAACGTGGAAGCAACACATAGAAACTGGGGTTATGTAGGGGTTCAGGGTTCAGGGTTGGGGGTTATGCCTTGGATACCTTGAGTTGTACCTTGCATACCTCGACTTGTACCCACATCAGGGTGCATGAGCCCCTGTTCACAACCACCCAGGAGCTTGGCAGCATGAGAGGGACCCGAGAAAAAGGACTATAATCGTATTTGGAGGGTCAGGGCAATTTTGTCAGAAGGTTCATAATGGTGATAAATATATGGCTTATTGAGAAGTATGAGTATACTTAGCAAGACCGCCTGACCCTTCCAGTAGTGCATCATATAGCTCTCACTAGTCAGTATACGCCCACTGTATCGCAAAGCGGTATCGTCAGAAATGACCCCGTACTCTACCTTCATAATACCCTCTCAGAATCCTCATTTTCCCTGCAGATGCTTGCTTTGTTCCGAGGAACCCTGAGCCCCACGCTTTCCTGTAGGGCGTTTAAAGCCAGGGAAATTGGAGGTGAGTACTCACACTAGCCCATTACCCTGCAGGAGCATATCTGGGCCTTACCATCGCCCTGAAGGAGCATCATATGTACGTTACATGGGGGATATCCACCTGGAAAATTCTCAACCAACTGCTCCTGATTCAGGAATCCATAGTCTCTTTACAGTCCCTACACATCCCCACCTGAAGGTGTTCAAAAACCAGGGAGGGCAAGTCTATAGTTGGGGCCACAACCTAAACCCCTTAACTCTGCACCTCTAAACTCTGAAGCCTACACTCCTGAACCCAAAGCCCCCCAGACCCAAAGTGGTTTGAGCCCAGTGTCAGACGCGGCATGGCGGTAGGGCAGGATGCGCGCAAGGTACGGGGGTCTCAACCGAAAGGAGTCTAGCGTAAAGGGATGAGGGTTTCATGTAGGGATAATGAGAGGTATTCTGCGGGAGGTGTCGGGTTTGATGCAAATGTTCCTTCTGTCGACAGGTCTTGTGGGCGTTGCTTTGTGAAATTGCCTTCTGTTTCCTCAGGGGTCCAAACGTGCAAGAAACAAATGTTGGGAAAATGTGTATTCATGGCGCTTGCAGGTTGCGGTTTGCGGAAGTGTGCGCTATTATTGGGTAGTTGGACGGCCAGACGCTAAGTGATTTAGCGCTGAAAAGCTTTGTTGGCGTACAAATCCATTATAGCATTTCTTCGCGAATGGCTACACTGTAAATGGAAGGTGTGTTACAACTTGGGTGATGATCAATGTCAAGGTTTTGCCTCTGTAAAACATCTTCTCTCCTCTCAGAAGCAGCTGCGGTGAAGTCATCATCTCACCTTATTCACAACGACGTTCTAACTGTGAGAAGGCGGGATCTCCTTCTCAACGTCATGCACAACTATGTGGGACAGTACAAAACCTGCTTGACCCTAAGCACCTTACCTTGGGAATGATGTCTTTTTAGTATACTGAATTCACGCAGGATTTTTGATATCAACAGTTCGGCTATCGATGCATTGGTTGATGATATGCTAGAAGCAACGGGGTCTGGAGGATAATGAGCTGTAAGCCTTACGCACGGGAAAGGGGATCCGACAAAACAACGCATCAATTTCTACAACTGCTGAAGGTCCCAAAATGTGATGGATGTGCAACATAAGGACCGCATAAAGGGGACAAAAGATTCTTCATGTAACCCGTAGAGGGATTTGGTATGACAGTCTTTAACATCCAAGGTTTAGGTGTAGAAGCTGGAAACTCCAAATCGGATCAAGCCCAAAAATCCCTAGACCCTAAACCCTACCTCTAAACGTTTCGGGTTTAGGGTTTAGGGCATAGCAACTATACAATACAGACCAGCATGCTATACATCGGGTTAGGCCCCCATTCAGTAGTAGTGGTATGATAGGAAGATATAGGGACCTTAATATCCTTTGTGATCACTGTGAGTGGGTGCGGGCCTACGATTTGATACAGGGTCGGATTTTGAATTATGGCCCGCCAGTTGGACCCCACATATATACACCCATCAGATTTCCTACAAAATCAGATATTATTACACTCATAACTGATGATAAGCCCTACCTTACAGCAGTGTAGATGACAAGGCCGGGGAAGGTTGTCAAAAGTACACGAAGCGCCACAGGCTGGGAACCATGCTATCCAAGACGGCTGAAGCTGCCCTGTCTTTGTTTGCTAGCTTTGACAACTAGGAGGTATTCAGAGGCGTGGGCTCAATAAAGGTTTTTTACATCACAACAGGGCAAACCGTTGTTGGACAATCGCAACAATGAAGGGCCTCTTTTTTGCTGCTGCGGCTCCGCTTCATGGATGTCACTTGCCTGCTGCTCCCCAGGGCTCAGTCGCCTGGCAGCTGTAGCAAGACGAAAATATCAGCCAGCATTTTGTCCACTGGATCCAACTCTGGCACCCGTGAGTTGTGAGAAGCTGTGTCTTTAGTTTTGGGGCTTCGAGACTCATCAGAGCTTAAAATGGCATGATTGACTTGCGATCTCCGCAGAAACTCGGCAGAATTGACTTGGAACACAGCGGAAGTAGCCCTTTAGTACACACGCTTTTTATCATGAGTTTCAGGCTTGTACCCCTAGGGATATACCCTTGGGTTTTGTGATCTTTTAAGGAACCCTAGGGACTACATTGGCTCATATAACGGCGTTATTCGGGCGTTATTGGGGAAACCTTTTGAGGGTATGACATCAGGGGTACAACCCAGGAACCCTTGGGTTTAGGATTTGGGGCTTCGCAGCGCTGCAAGGGAAGACACTTGGGTCTAACGTTGGGGGCTTAGTTTTGTTGGTTTGGCATAGGCCTCAACGGATGCTTCTGAACTCTCAGGGTAATCAAGACCTGCGTGGTATGGTCCATCATCTCAAGAAATAAATACCCCAAGGGAACGCCCTAGGTCCAAGGATCGTGTTGTCGTAACTATGGCTTGGGCCTCTACTACCTGCCAGCGGTGGCAGTGCAGGCTGATGACCTGAGTGCTTCTTGGAATCTCCAAAGATATCCTGCAAATTGTCGGGGACTGACATCTAGGAGCTGCACAAGCTGATCTCAAAATACATTGAGCTGCAACAGCCTCCCCTTACCCCCCGCCACCAAACTAAGGCCCGAGTAAGGTCCATTTCAGGACTGAGAGAACAAGAAGGTATAGCAAAGGATCCGATAATAGTCCCGCACTCCCTGTCAACAACTACACGAATCCCAAAACCCTAAACCCCAAAACCTGAACACAAAAGCATATCTCTGCGGCTCCGAGTCCAGAATCATTACTCCCTGAAGTCCATAATTACTGGCTGCTTTATAGGCGATTTCAAAGGTTAGGGTGTATAAGAGGGCATATTTTTTGTTGGGGCCCCTGCGTTATGGTGTGTGTGCCTTGAAATTGTACAAGATATATGTAAGGGTTGTTGCGGCTGAGATTAATGAAAACTCCTGGTTCCCATTTATCCGGGCATCTACCCGAAGAGACTTCCTTAACAAATCCGAACAAATGTCCGCAAGCCTCCCCACATCATCGTTTTCACCCCTTTATCATGCCCAGCCAACCATCCGCAAACACCGGCATCGATTACAGTGGCCCTCCCATCTACCACCTCCCACCCTGGCTACTATTACTTATTATTGAGCCTTCTACATGCGTCCCCAGAGGCATCTGGAAGATTCTCAAGAACGGATTACCTTAAGGATTCTAGACCCTAAGCCCCAAGCCGAAAACCCTTAAAATTCTGGGGAGCTCTCATCTAAGCTGCAGCTTTGTTTTCGTCGGTTGTTAGGGATGAGCCAGGACTGAACATGCTGAATGGGGCCCCTGAGTTCTAGAGAACCCATACAGCATGCCATGGCCGAATTGATTCGATCGACATCGATTCGATTTCCAGCGATCTATGGCGATCCTCCACCTCCCGCCTCACACCTCCCACCTCCCACCTCGGGGCAATAAGGTCCTAAGGGTTGAGGGTTTAGGGTTTAGGGAACCCCGAGCTTCTGGGAGCTTACCACGTGGCCGCTCGTCAAACTGAGTTTTTGCAGGTTCCGCATGTATTTGAATGTATTTGGGTGCTTCCCCAAAAAGAGGCCTTTTCATGCATGCGGGGGAGAAGGGGGGATGGCTGAAAAGAATACGTAGTTCTCAACAAGATTCCAGGGGTCTCAGGTTTAAACCTTCCACGCGAACCCTCGAAATCTTAACCCCCGCACCCTAAGCCTAGACCCTATATATGCCCTAAATCCTATGCAGCCTTGATCAATCTGCGCTCCAACCCTCCACCTTGAAACTCCGTATTCTTGAGCTTAACTTTACTCTGCATCCGTGATTCCTAACACTACCCTTCCCTAACAACAATGTCGAGAATTTCTATACAGTATTATTTTTTGCATCTGCATCGATGTCAACAACCCATACCGGATACAAGCACCTCTCCATCTTGAAGCACGCTTGATGCATACTATACCTTCCGGCTTAGAAGGAACATGCATCAACATGCAGGATTTTATTGACTGGTGCTTAGTAGGGAATAAGTCTACAGCGAATTTCATGGGGTTATATTCCCTTGTTCCGTGCTAACCCCCCCAGTAAACCTATGCTGACAAAATCCAAAACCGAGTCTACGCTCTTCCCCATCCCTCCCAATAAGCTCTAGTGAAGTCTGGCCTGGGTAGTACGGATTCGCTGGGGAGGCCTGCAAGGGAAACCAAGCTGCCCACAAATAGGATTTAGGGTCTAAGATTTTTTGGTTTAGGCCTTGCGGCTTAGGGTATGAGGTTCAGGTAAAGGGTTTTGGCTGTTGGGTTTTTGGTTGGGGGCTTGAGGCTTAGAATAGGAGGTTCAGGCATAGTGTTTCGGCTTCAGAGCTTTTGTTTTAAGCCTCAAGGCTTGGGGTATGAGGTTCAGGCACAAGGTTTTGGATTTATGGTTTTTGGTTTAAGGTTTGGGTTCAAGGTTACGGGTATGGGGTTCAGGGTGTAAGGCTTACAAAGGTCCTCCCGGCGCAAGTGTGGACAACATATGCCTCTGAGTACGGGTTCTCAGCAGAGCTCATGGTCAAAACTTAGGCTCTCCCCACATAGCTAGATTGAGATAGAAGCAATGTCGGCTCATGGCTATGGGTTTACTGGGTTGCTATTCAGGAGCTTTACTTATCATAATGTGAGTATGTGGTAAATAATGGGGTTTCCTTATGATACTGTAGTGACTTGATTTAAACCCTAAACCCTAAACCTTGAATGCAACCCAGTTCAGGCCTCTAGGCCTGGGGATCAGCTCACACAGCTGTTTTAGGGACGATTAGGGTAATACGGTAATAGGATGAAACCAGATGGGGATTTCCACAAATAGGGGTCCCAATATAGACCCCAAAGTGCTAGAGCCCACATTATAGGGACTCTTTGAATCGGGGTCGGCCTAATTGTGGAAACCCCCGTTTGATAGTCATAGGATCCTTGCTTGCATGCTTGAAATTGAACTATTCCAAAGCCCGCCCCCGGCCCGATCTCCTAAGCCGTGGCGGTTACACCAGGCTTTCATGGAAATAACATTCCCACTTGATCCGTGTTTACAAATAGCAAGAGCACTCCTCCACCCATAATATATAAAAAGTTGTCTCCCAATACATAAGTTTGCTTCTTGGGGAATACCTGGTATGGGTGTGAGATTTGAACGCAAGAGCAAATATCCTTCGGCCATTGTTCAATCCGTTCAATCAAAATCGTCTCACGCTGTTCACTGGCGGAAACAGAAAAACTCCATGGTCGCCCATGGCGCCTATATACCCCCTGTAAACCCCCTCCGCCTGGAAGACATAGAATAGTGCGTGTACTCCATTCCCTCTACTAA